GGGGCCCCTGGAGGGGGGCCCCTGGAGGGGGGGGCCCCTGGAGGGGGGCCCCCTGGGGGGGAGGGGGGCCCCCACTTCGTTGGGGCCCTGATAGACGGAGAGGGGGCAGGGAGTTGCAGCTCGACTGAGGCGAGCCGCTCGAAGGACGCTGAGGCGGAGCTGCAATCATCTTGAGGGGCCCCTAGGATGAGGTGCAGCAGCTGCTGCAGCTGCTGCTGCTGCTGCTGATGATGATAATGATGATGATGATGCTACCGCTGCTGATGACGCTGCTGCTGCTGCTGCTGCTGCTGCTGCTGCAGACGAATGAAAACAGATCAATGTGGGGGGCCCCCTTAGGCCCCCGAGTAATGCAAGGAAGGAAAAGGCAAACGAAACGCGGGACAGAAGCTGCTGCTGCTGCTGCTGCTGCTGCTGCTGTTACTGCTGTTGCTGCTGCTGCTGTTGCTGCTGCTGCTGCAGGGGCCCAGAGCGACTGAATGCGCACTGAAAGAGTTTATAATTTGAGTAGAAGAAGCAAAAGGAGAGGAAAAGAGCTGCTACGGGCAGCAGCTGCTGCAGCTGCTGCTGCTGCAGCTGCTGCTGCTGCTGCCGCTGCTGCTGCAGCAATGATATGCCCCTACTCCGCGCGAGAGAGAGTCGCTGCTGTTCAAAAGCAGCAGAAGAAAATAAAAACAAAAAACAAAAGACAGAGAGCAGCAGCACGAGCCCCGCGCTGCTCCCAGGTCTGAGTGCCGCTCGTCGGCGGCGTGTGCAGCAGCAGCAGCAGCAGCAGCTGCTGCTGCTGCTGCTGCTGTCTTTGAGAACGAAACACCGTGCTGCTGCTGCAGAAAGCAGCAGCAGCAACAACAGCCAGAAGAAGTTTCTCGAGCAGCAGCAGCAACACATTAAACCCATAGGATATCCACCTACACACTAAATCTGCTGCTGTTGCTGCTGTTGCTGTTGCTGTTGTTGCTGCTGCTGCTGCTGCTGCTGTCGCTCCAGTCAGCGCGCCGCTCCTTAGCAGGAGCAGCAACAACAACAGCAGCAGCAGCAGCAAAGACAACAGCTGCAGCAGCAGTTAGTTTGTCTTCCGCTTGTATTTGACGTTAGGCCCGTCCCCGCTGCCCTTGGAGCTGTTGCTGCTGCTGCTGTTGCTGCTGTTGCTGCTGCTGTTGTCATTGCTGCTGCTGTTGGTAGCAGCGTGCTTCTGTAGGGCGTGTGGGGCGTGCTGCTGCTGCAGCAAACATCAAGGGGTGAAGTTGCTGCTACAGGGATGCTGCAGCAGCAACACATTGAAGTGTATGAACCGCTGCTGCTGCAGCTGCTGCTGCAGCTGCTGCTGTTGCTGCAGCTGTTGTTGTTTTCTTGTTGCTGCTGCTGCACCCTTGGCGGGGGATAATGCAGAAGCTAGAGCAACAACTGCAGCAGCAATACCAGCAGCAGCAACAACTGCAGCAGCAGCAGCAGCAGCAGCAGCAGCAGCAGCAGCAGCAGCAGCAAGGGGCTGTATACGTTGGGGAGTATCAATAAGGACAGAGACAGAGATAATAAAGAGAGACACAAATAATAAAAGAGAGACAGCAGAAATAATAAAGAGAGAGGGAGACAATATATATAAATATATATTTATATAATATATATATATATATAAATAAATATATATATATATTTATATATATATGTAGACAGAGACAGAGAGAGACAGACAGAAAGACAGAGACAGAAGAGAGACAGAGACAACAGATATAAAAGCAAAGACAGACAAAGACGAAGACAGACAAAGAGAGAGAGACAGACAAAGAGAGAGAGAGACAGAGAGACAGAGAGAGACGATGAAGAGAGACAAAGAAACAAAGAAAGAGACAGAGAGAGACAGAGACAGAGACAGACAAAGACAGAGAGACAGAGACAGAGAAAGACAAAGACAGAGACAGACAGAGAGAGACAGACAAACAAAGAAAGAGACAGAGAGACAGAGACAAAGACAGAGACAGACAAAGGGAGACAGAGAGAGACAGAGAAAGAGAGAGACAGAGAGACAGAGACAGAGACAGTAGACAGACAAAGAGAGACAGAGCAATAACAAATAATCAAACAAGCAAAATAAAGAAAGAAAGAATATATAAATAAATAACAAAGAAAGACAAAGAGAGACACTCAAAGACAAACATTATAAATTATAAATCATAAACCAGAATAAAAAATAATAAAGGAGACAAAAAAACAAACAAAAGGAGACAGACAGAGACAGCAAATTATAAACAAAAAGACAAAGACAATATATATAAATATATATATATATATGTATATATGTATATATGTGTATATATATATATATATATAAATTATAACATACATTGCTGCTGCTGCAGCTGTTGCTGCAGCGGCCGCTGTTGCAGCTGTTGCTGTAGCTTTTGCTGTAGTTGTTGCTGTAGTTGTTGCTGCAGCTGTTGTTGCAGCTGTTGCTGCAGCAGCACAAATGTCTCCTCGTACTTTGTCTCCTTTTGCTTTTGCGTTTGTCTCTGTTTGTTTGTTTGCAATACCTACATATATATATATATATATATATATATATATATAT